CTCATTCAAATATCTCGTTGTTAATCAAATTTGATTAATTCTCTCATTGTTGGTTAGTAATTTTGTGAGTCTAATTTATACAGTATTTTTTGTTTATTGAGTAAATCGTGCAATCAGTCCATAATGCATCTTTCGTAGCATCCATTCTTGCGCAACTTTAAAATTATGATTTTCGAAAACTTTTAAATTATTTTGTAGTTGGGAAGGTCTATTCAAACCCCCTCCAGTCTAGACTATTTTACTCTCATATTTAGATAGAAAAGGGAAGTTCCTTCTCCAACCAACATGGAGGTTGTGATTTGGATAGAAAAGGCAATTTGAGAAGTCACTAGGACTATATCGCCTTAGAGAGGGTCTACATGTTCGTCAAATTCTAGCAAACAAACTTGTATATTGAGTCTTTGAATTGGATGTCTTGTTGAGTCTATTTGTCGATCTAAAACACAAACAAACTAGTAAGCTCAACGTTCAATGCAAAACTATGTTTTCATAATAAAAGGTCAAACAATTATTGTACACTAACAATAGTTTCTCAAATAAATTGATAAATATATTATGACATTCTATTTATGCATATAAGAAGGATTTAGTTTACCAAACAAATCTGGAATGTCTACACGAATTTGCCTTACCAAAGTAATGAGTAATAGAGAAAAATAACATGTTAAAAGATAAAGAAAAATATCAATGGAATGACAAAAAATAATGCTTTCAAATAGAGAACTCAAATGAAAAATAATAATGCATTCAAATAGGGAACTAAAAAAGTCGATAGAGTTTGAACTAACAATATTATAGTGGAATATTTTTATTGGACCATAAAAGGTAGCGGACCATGACAATTTTATTTGGGCCTAGAATGGATGGTCTATGAAGGCACAATTCAAACATATTGATTAATATTTGGTGAGTACCAGACAAAGGGTAGTAGAGCACCCAACATGGAACGGCAGGTCGCTAAAAATTTAACGATAGGTCTCTCTAATATATATGCCACCCGGTTTGATCAATACACTTTTCATATGTGTCCTATGAAGTGTCCTAGGAAGAAGAGTCGTGGGTATGAGCCAAAAGAGGGAAAACATTTTTCTCCTAGATCTAATAAAGAACCAGTCTTCCTTACCCCAACCTGCAAGTCGAGTATTTAGTAGGAATTGCTCTTAGTATGACCCATAGGGTCTTTTGTAAATACCTTGACCTAAGGATGGAAAGAGATGGATCCCAGAATTCCATATAAACACCACTTATAAAGTCTCGTACAACCCTCATGGAAATTCTATAGATAGACATCCAGTGAAGAAAAAAAGACTTTCTTCTCTAATAAAATTTCGGCAGGGCCAATTGAAGATTGTTACAGAGGAAATTTTGGAGTTTCTAGATCTTTCTTCAATTCAAAGGCACGGACAAGGGAATTTCTATAGGATCTAATGAAGATCGTTGCAGATAAAATCTTGGATAGTTTTGATCTAAAAAGGTGGTTGTATCAAGATTGAATAAAGGTATTGAAGGATTTACAATTTAGTGTGCTACGTACAATAGAAGGAAAATCAATATTCATATTAGGGTTGCTTAGCAGATGGCTTTAAGTATTTAGTTTGTCTGTGATTATCAGTTTATATCAAAAGGCACTTGTAATAATTTCAAATTAGTGGAAAACCTGTGAATTTTGAATAATCTGCCATTAAAGACTAAATAAGGTGCAAGCAATAACGGTGCACTAAACTAATATTGGTGTACAATTATATATATATATATATATATATATATATATATATATATATATATATATATATATATATATATATATATATATATATATATATATATATATATATATATATATATATATATATATATATATATATATATATATATATATATATATATATATATATATATATATATATATATATATATATATATATATATATATATATATATATATATACTTCACATGTTCTTTGGTTCTTTATCACTTTTAGCACTGTGTGATTTTATGACTTTATCACTTTCTAAAATTGTATGTTGTTAGGTTATTTGTTCATAGATTTTTAAAGTCTATGCTTATCTCTTAAAAATACTCTCAAGTGATTATGTCCGTACAAACCTATAATGTTAGATTCTTCCTTCGGTTAATAAATTCTCATTCAAATATCTCATTGCAAATTGAATTTGATTAATTCGCTCATAGTTTGTTAGTAATTTTATGAGTTTAATTTTTGTTATGTATTTTGTTCGTTGAGTAGATTGTATAATCAATCCATAATGCATTTTTCAAAACTTCCCCTCCTAAGCAACTTTAAACTCAAATTTTAGAAAACTTTTGAATTTTTTTTTGTGTGGGGAAGGTATATTCAAACCTCTCCCCCTCTCCCTCTAGACTATTTTACTCTCATATTCAATCTAATAGTTGTTGTAATGGTCAGAATGGCGGTAAAAAATGAGAAGTTCCTTCTCCAATTGACATGGAGGTTGTGATTTGGAGAGGAGTGGCAATATGAGAAGTCATTAGGACCGTACCACCTTATAAAGGGTTTATATATTCATCAAGTCAAGCAGACGAAGCTCTAGATTGAGTCTTCAAATTGGATCCATTTTTTTTAGTCTTATAGTCGATTTGAAACATGACACAAACTAATGTAAGCTTAATGTTCAATACAAAACTATTCTGCCAAAACAAAAGGTCAAACTTCAAATGTATACTAACAATAGTTTTTAAATAAATTGATAAATAGATTATAGCGTTCTATCTAGGCATATGATATAAGAAGAACTTTGGTTTTCAAACAAATATAGGATGTCCACACGAATTTGCTTCACCAAAGTTATGAGTAATAGAGAAAACAAAAAGTTAAAAGATAACTAAAATTAATTTAATGGAATGACAAATGCATTCAAATAGAGAACTCAAATGACAAATAATAATTCATTCAAATAAGGAACTAAAAAACATCACTAGATTTTGAACTAAAAATATTTTATTGGACCATAAAAGATAGTGGACTATGAAAATTTTATTGGGGCCTAGAAATGATGGTCTATGAAGGCGCAATTTAAACTTGCAGATTAATATTTTGTGAGTACCTGGAAAAGGGCAGTATAACACCCAACATGGAACGGAAGATAGCCAGAAACTGAACGATATGTCTCCCTGTTATAGATCTATATGCCACCCATTGGGCTTGGCACACTCGAGTTGATCCATACATTTTTCATATGTGTCCTATGAAGTATCCTATGAAGAAGAGTCATGGGTATCAGTTAAGAGAGGAAAAATTGTTTTCTCTTTGATCTAAGAAAAAACCAGTCTTCTTCACCCCTCGTCTTCAAGTCGAATATTTGGGAGGAATTGCTTCTAGCCCGGTCCATTGTGTGTTTTGTAATTACCCTGACCTAAGGATGGAAATAGATGTATCCCAAAATTCCACAAAAACACTACTTATAAAGTCTCATGCAACTGTCATGAGCAAACTCTTACTCTTATTGTATTTTTTTAGCTAGTATAATTTGCGCCTACCATGGTGCCTGGTAAAATTGACTTTAGCCTCAATTTCAATCCATATAACATTGTTGTCGTCAATGATGATAAGAACGTTGTTTTTCATGGAGACTATGAGGAAGATGATGTAGTCAAACACTAGTCACTACATACACCTTAGCTTGACCTAAGTTACAAATAAATGTTAAACACATTCATGTTGTGACCTTAAAGATTTCAATGACTAAGTTACCTTAAACTGGATAACAAATTTAGATAGTACAAAATAAAATACTTAAGAGTTATAAAGAGAGACTCGACTATCTAAGTCTCATTCAAGAGTCTCAACTTATCAAAGTCTCGCTTGAATGATTTGTCTTTACAAGTCTAACTCAAGGGACTCTGTTATCTAAGTCTCTCTCTTAATTAAGGTACTAACATTTACAAGTCTTGTTCGAGGGACACGGCTATCTAAGTCTCACCCATAAATAAATTATCTCTTGTTTGAATTAAATCACTTCGATCTTTCAATGGTCTCGTGCTTAAGGGACTGTGTACTTGGATATTTTTATTTGTTCGTAAAAGACAGTGGATCGGGACAATTTTTCTGGGGCCCTAGAAGGGATTGTCAATGAAGACTTGATCCAAGCCCACTAATCAATATTTTGTGAGCACCCAATAGAGGACAGTAGAACGTCCATCATGGAACGTTAGTCCATCCGAAACTGAACGATAAGTTGCCCTGTTATAACTTTATAGGTCACCCCATTGAAATTGGATTTGGGCTGCTCGAGTTGATTCATACACTTGTCATACATAGCCTATGAGGTGTTCTGGGAAGAACGGTCGTGGATTTCAATCAAGAGGGGAAAAACCTCCCACTCGGAGATCTAAGAAATAGTCGGTCTTTCTCACCCCATCTTCTAGTCGAATATTTAGGAGGAATTACTCCTCGCACGATTAAGGATCTAAGGATAGAAAAAGATGGATCACAAAATTCTAATAAACATCACTTATATAGTCTCTTGCATCATGAACCGCATAAGATAATGATCATTTTTTTTTCAATTATTTTCACTAAAAATTCAAAATTTAAAATCTCAAATTTAGATCTTTATATAATAAAAAATCTTAACTTTAACGAACTCTCAAAGCGATTTCCAATTAGAATTCACTAAAATCGTGATTATGCATGTAGACATTTGAATTCCAATCTCATACTTTCACACTTCTACATACTAATAGATTGTCCAAATAAGCCAATGACTTGCAATCCATTCTCATAGTTATTGCTACTCACAAATAATCTCATATATAACATATTGACATAAAACATGTCTTCTCATATATAACATATTGACATAAAACATGTCTTCCGTTTATGTTTACATGCTTTCAAATTCATAAACATTATGTTTAAGTATGGATATTGATGTACATTATCAAATTGAGTTCAACCATATACCTCAAAAACAAAAACAAACAAATATCATAATTCAGTTCAAACACATTGCAATATAACTCATTGTTTGCCCTCAACCGCAATTGCAGGACTTGTCTTCCTCCTCCTCTCCCTAGAGCTACGGCACGAAGACAAACTCGGAATACAAAACAACAAAGACTTATGCGATTTCTCTTTAACCGATACACGATCACCACTCGCGATTCTTTCACTACTACTAGTAGAGTTAGCTCTTGAGCAATAAGGGGTTGAGTGTGAAGATTTAGGAAGAACATCTTGTATAGTTGGTTTCACTTGTCTCTTTTCTTTGTTATCATCATCTTGGTTATCTTTCACACTATCTTTGAAAAGCTCTAAAAGTTTCTTTTTCTTTTCCGGTGATGATTCCGATGGAGAAGGCGAAACTCTATTCTGAGATGAGGTTTTGTTGACATCAGGTGTAGCAAAAGCGTGGTGAATTGGAGTATTACCACGAGATGGTGTAAAGTCTACGTAAAAAGATAGACAGATAGCCACAGTCAGAGTTTAATCGATATACACAGCCAAAAGATAAAAGATAAAAACTAAATGAAATTAAAATTTTCGAAAAAATGAAAAACAAATGCTTACCACCATTGACACTATAGAAATCATCTTCACAATCTGAATCCAACCAAGGTTTGGAATCAAAAAATGCTTCCTCTTTACTACCTATAAAGAGTGAAAGGAAAAAAAATGTGTGAATAATTAATTCATATATAGCATAAGTATAATCCAACAAATTAATTATAATTAAAGTTTTTTTTACAATTGAGTTGGAAATGATATTTCAATCAATTTCAATTTATTGTAACAATAACATATGGATTGTAGTATATTAGCAAGTTGTTTTCATTATGCTAAAAATATCTTTCATTTATTATATAAAGATAAATAATTGAATAGACTATATAACTAGAATAAAAATCAATCTTCAAATACATATATGAAATAAATAATAAAAGAAATTAAAAATAAAAAGTGAATAAATTTTTTTGAACTTTCTATTCACATGTGCTATAAATAATTGCCAATTAATAAAATCATGAAAGTGGTGACCTAACCGCATAATACCTCCAAAGACAGGTTCATATCACATGATAAATTTATACTTATTTGCCATTATTACATAAATTAAATTAAATTAAATCAATCAATAATATCATATCAACAAAATTAAATAACATATACTATTAAATTAAATCAATCAATCATATCAATAAAATTAAATAACTTATACTAAATTAAGTCAATCAATCATATCATATCTAAAATTAAATAAAAATCAATAATATCACATATCAATCCTAAAGAAACAAGACAACAACATATCACCTAATAATTGAAGAGTGAGAAAGAAATTAAAAATGAAAAATAATTTTAAAAATTTGAAACAATACCATTTAATTGCATATTTACACAAATTTGACAGAATTCTTTTTTTAAAAAATTAAAAATTCTTTTTTTTTTTTTTTTAACTTTTGAAAATTTTAATATTTGGTCTGTATTTAAAACCCAATAACTTCTTCAATTTATATTAAGAAATTAAGTAATTATAATTCAACTGAATTCTCCAAAATCATTAATTTAATATTAAAAAACATTTTTTTTATATAAAAAAGAACCAATAAAAAAAATAAAACAAATTCTTAGATCCCAGAAACAAACACAACAAAAAACAGAAAAACCTTAAAAGAATCAAAACAACAAAAAGAAACCATACCATAGTTAATGAAATTGGTCGTTGACTTAGAAGGTGACAACACAAAGTCACCATTTTTTGTTTGTTCCTTAATGGGTGATGAAGGAACCACAATTTTCTCAGTTTTGGATCCAAAAAATGAAACTTTCACCTTCATGTTATTGTTATCTGTGTTGGGTTTTCTTTGAATTGAAGAACAAGAGCCCATAACTCAAAAAGATGAAAACTTTATGATCATCACAGTCACAAAGTGGCTTGAAAGAGAGAGAAAGATCAAGTATGGGCAAAAGGGTGTGTGAGTTTTTGGATTTATGCAAAAGGGTGTGTGAAAAAATGGGTTAGTGAGAAAAAAGAGGAATTGGAGAGAGAAAGAGAGAGAGAGAGAAAAGGAATGAAAGTTAGTAAAAGAGGATTAGTCTTGAAAGGGAAGTTATAATATGTAATTGTGTTGTGTCAACAAACAATGTTTGTTGTGTTGTGTTGTGTTGTGTTGAGTATTGGATGATGCTACATTTATACTCTTATTGGGTGAGGATTTTAAGTTCTAAATGTGGTGTTTGGAGGTAATGAGTAGTTTGTTAGCATTATAAGGAGAGAAAGGTCACAAAATTTTCACCAAAATAAGTCATAAATTGATGATTTGATATTGGTTTTATGAATTAGTTGGATGTCATAATTACATTTAAGGGTGTAAAAAAATCACATCTCTTTATGAATTTGTATGTTATAGATAAAATAAATTAATATTTCAACTAGTTTGTTATTTGTTTTTTAAGAGGTGGGGACTATAAAGAAATTATTTAAATACTTTAAAATAACATAAATCTATTATTAAATATTGATATATTTTTAGAGTTGAATTTGAATTCAAAATTTTTAATTAAGTAAGTAGATATTTTTAATATCTCATTTAAGTATTTTTGGTTCTATTTATATTAATTTATAAATAATTGTTAGTAATTAGTTAATATATTAATATTTTCTCTTTTATCAAATTTGAAGAATCGTCCAATGTATTTAACCTTTTACATGCATGAGTGGATTTAACTCTTTGAGGGGTTCAATTTAACTCTAAATTTTGAAAAAATGTCCATTATATTAACTAAATGAATATAACCTTCTTGCAACGCAATTGTTTTTAAAAATTAAAATTCTTGTAAGAGATTTAACTTTGATATTATTTAAGCAAATAAAATTATTTAGAATAAACGTTATTATTATTATTTTTAATATAGAATTAACTTATTTTTTTAATTGTTTTATTTAATCGATAGTCAACTCTTCTAATTTAAGCGTCCCTTATTTCTAGTATGTGCATGACACGGTAATTTTGGTAGATGTTTTAGTTGATAACCTTCGAGTCTTCGAGTTAATTTCGCTATGAGCAACCTCATAGAAATTAATATGGATCCTATTTTTATTTAGCTTGTGATTTGTCTATTGTGTAGTAAGAGAATATTTCCTTCAAGTACGACTATCGGTGGGATCGATTATTGTTTAGTTAGTCTGATTTCTCAGAGCTTCAAATCGTGGAGACAACAATATATTAATTTATGGGACGAGTGATTTTACACAGTTTTGTTTTGAATGTTATCCTTATTTTCTTCTTATCTTTTTTTTAAATATTTGTCAAGGTTTAGAAAAAGATTGTTAGAATTTAATAAATGTTTCTCTAAAGTGAGGTAAAGGTAACTCTAAGATCTCTTGAGTTAAGTAGTCTAATGTATATAAGTCTGAGCATTGTATTGCTAAGGGAGTTTAGGATATTTGTTTGGTCAATTTATCCCTTTTAACTAAGTTGATGTGATAACTTATCTCTAATGCATCTAGTCTTTGGTATGATATTTTATATGGCATATATAATACATATGCTACTTTCTCCCCACAAATGTTTAATTTTGCGTCTACTTAGTAGAAAGGTGTGTCTCATCTTAGTTCTAAAACTGAGAATTCTTCTGCTTGGTTTGTGGTCAGCTCTAACAAGAAAATGGTATATGTCTTTCTTAAATCTTTTTGGAACGATCATATGGTAGGCCTTCTCTTTCTTGTGTCATCTTACTTAGGCATGTTTGGAGTTCTTCTAAAGTGATTATTTTCTCTTAAAATTTTATCCAAGGTAAGATCTCGACCATAAAAACTTGTATAAATGTAGGGTGTTAGCGAGCTCAAAGGATGTTTCTTGTCCATTGTGTAGTGGGTTGATAGAGGCGGTTACCCATTTATTTGTGACCTACGATTTGACAATGTTTAGATAGTAAAAAAATTTAGGTGATTAGGGTTGTGTTTCGATCTTTTTAAGGATCTTACTTCTCTTTTTTTGGTGTTTAGATCGTTGGGACGAAGGTTTAGGATTAAGGGTGGTCTCTTTATGACATGGTACTTAGCAGTGCGGTCGATGTGGAAATCCTAAAATGATATTATTTTTTTATGTTCCTTTACGAGTGTGAAGGATGTAGAAAACAAGAGTGCTTTTTTGGCTTAAAATAATATCTTGGTAGGTCTCTAGAAAACTATTATATTAACTCTGTTTGACCTAAAAACTCTATTAAACGTTTCAGTTATTAGCGGATTAAGTGTCATTGACCTTGCAATAAAGTGATTTTTGGTCGTTACTTAAAAAAAATCTCTTATATTGATGGTAATTTCTTTGAATTGAGATTTAGCCTTATTTTTTTAGGGTAACATTTTTGTTTTGATTTTCTCCTCTTGTATTAATTATTTTTGTTTTTGGTTGAGTCTCGAGTATTTATTTTATTTTTTTAACTTTTGCTGAATATTTTTGTTTCTCTTTGTGATTTACCCTTCTTCGATATCTTGTGTGTCATTTTTGTCTTTAAAAAATTATATTAGTAGAAGAAAAAAATTTAACTTAAAAATAAGATTTATTGTAGATTTGGTGTCTTATTTTTATTGGCTTATGAATTTGTTTATGTAATTTAAAATCAGCCCATTTTAATATTTTTTTTATTTTCTTAAACTTAAAAATAATAATATGATATATTTTAAATAAAATAACATATAGTATCATGATGAAGAATAGTTCACATAATAATTGTTACTAACTTCCTCTATGGGCAGCCATCCATTGCCACATGTTGACTGAATGACCTTAAAATTTTCAGCGTGAAAAGCGAGTTAAAATTTTAGATTATTAATTCCGCGTATACATCGTGTAGAATAAGTGTCAAATAATTAAATAATTAAAACACCATGCTACTTTGTGTCAAAAATTTAAAATAAAATTAAAAAAAAAAAACAAAAACAAAAACACCATTGGTACTTTAAAAAGTTATCAATTCCCACCAGTAAAAGATGGTTTCCATCCATCTATCTAATAAATTCTCAACTATATTATTAATTTTTTTATTTTAAAAAAATATCACAATTATATTCATTTTGTTTCATATTTTTTATAAGGCTATTTTTTTTTCTATTATATGGCGATTTTTTTAAAAAAGAACATATTTTAAAAATTTTGGATCTCCTTGTTTTATAATTTTTTATTGTTTTTTTTTACCACTGATTCAAGCCAAAAAGATTTTTTTTTTTTGATAAACAAAAATTTAAAAAAAAAACATATTTTAAAAAATTTGGATCTCCTTGTTTTATAATTTTTTTTATTGTTTTTTTTTACCACTGATTCAAGCCAAAAAGATTTTTTTTTTTTATAAACAAAAATTATATTGAAGAGGACACTAGGGGTGTCCAACCCAATACAAAGGAAAACAAAGAGGGAAAGAAAACAAAATCGAATATCCAAGTTCTCTCCAATTCTGAAGGAAAGATTGAATATGATACAATAAAGATTTGAAATTTAACAATTCACCTCTAAAAATAATGTTGTTTCGAATCCTCCAAATAGACCAAAGAACCGCAAACCAAATTCTACACCGAACAGATCCTGTTAGAGGAGAGTTTAAAATTTCCATGTTGTCCAAAAGGACTTGAAACTAGGACCTTAGTCTCAATGGTACACATTTTACCGCTAAACCAAATTTTTTGCTTTATTATATTTTCTAATGAAATTTATATATTACTTTCAATTTTACATCTAAATAATCCACATTTTAAAAAAAAAAAGTAATTTTAAAATAACCTATTTTCCAAAATATTCTATTTTAGAGGTGAGAATAAGTGTTGCTTTTAAATCAATTTGTGATAGTTCTTTAGCCTTAAGAGAAGACGTCAATTGGATTGTAGACATCATATGGTGTTGTCAATTCAATTGTCGACAGTGTGTTAAATTTCAAAGATGAAGTCAATTGATTTAGTAACATTGTATGTTGTGTTTTTTTTTACTATAAATAGAGGTGGTGTGGTCCATTGTTTTCACATTTATTCTCATATTTATGTGTTAGTGATAACATGTATCATCGCTACTACAGAAAAGTTTCGAGCAACTACATAGGGAATTGATTTGTTGGTTAGAAGGAGACATACCTGAAGGCGAAAAATTAGAAGTATCGAGAGACACGGTGTCTTGCGTGGGTAGGTGCAAGTTAAGACTGACAAGGATGCGAGACAAGTGGTATTTTGACCAAATGATATCAGTTTGATTGTTGTAATCAGTTAGAAATGTTGTGGTTAAGTATTTTTATCTATTTTGATATTTGTTGTATGTGTTGTTTATTTAGAGTTGTTGTTGTTCGTTTTGTGATATTTAATTTTTTTGTTGGAAAGTGTTGTTGTTTTTAAGTGCGTTTAAGTCGGGGTGATGGTTGTTGTTAACATTTTTGTAACAAAAAGTTATCCATATATCAAAATCTAAGGTTACAAAAATTCAAAGGAGAAACTAAACTATGATGCAGAGGTTGCTCCAACATTGAGACAATTTTTTCGATTGTGTCCAGGATGACGACATATACTACATTATCTTATCATTTTATCAGTCGTATCTATTCTTGTTCTTATGTGCATGCTGTTTGGGCGACCTTTTTTCTTTCTTCGCATCTCATCGTTGTGCCAAACTATGTCCCCTTGATATGGAGGCTAATATTCATCCATTGCTAGCACTACGAAGCCTTCATTATAGACATTCATAACGTTAATGGCCTTGTAAACATCAGATAGATGGTTGCAAGCGTCCTGACGAACATGTGCGCATGCTACAATGACATGTGAGCAAAGTACACGGAAGGCCTGATACTTGCCACAGTCACACCAACATCTATTTAGTTGACAACGTAGGATAAATTTGGCCTCCCTCAG